AAGAGACCATATAGCCAAGATAATCCTAAGCAAAAAGAACAAAGTTGGAGGTATCATGCTACCTAACTTCAAACGATAATACAAGGCTACAGTAACCAAAACAGCATGGTACTGGCACCAAAACAGACATATAGGCTGATGGAACAGAACAGAGGCCTCAGAAATAACACCAGTCATCTACAACCATCTGGTTTTTGACAAACTTCACAAAAACAAGCAATGGGAAAATGATTCCCTATTTAATAAATGGTATTGGAAAAACTGGCTAGCCATACGCAGAAAACTGAAACTGAACCCATTCCTTACACCTTATACAAAAATTAACTCAAGATGGATTAAAGGCTTAAGTGTAAGACCTAAAACCATAAAAAACTTAGGAAAAAACCAAGGTAGTACCATTCAGGACATAGGCATGGGCAAAGACTTCATGACTAAAACACCAAAAGCAATGGCAACAAAAGCCAAAATTGACAAATGGGACCTAATTAAACTAAAGAGCTTCTGCACAGCAAAAGGAACTCTCATCAGAGTGAAGAGGCAAAGGATATGGACACTTCTCAAAAGAAGACATTTATGCAGCCAAGAAACATAAAAAAAAGTTCATCATCACTGGTCATTAGAGAAATACAAATCAAAACCACGATGAGATACCATCCTACACCAGTTAGAATGGTGATGATTTAAAAGTCAGGGAACAATATATGCTGGAGAGGATATGGAGAAATATGAACACTTTTACAGTGTTGGTGAAGGTGTAAATTAGTTCAACCATTGTGGAAGACAGTGTGGTGATTCTTCAAGGATTTAGAAACAGAAATTCCTAGCAATCCCATTACTAGGTATATACACAAAGAATTATAAATCATTCCACTGTAAAGACATATGCACACGTATGTTTATTGTGGCACTATTTACAACAACAAAGACTTGGAACCAACCCAAATGCCCACCAATGATAGACTGGATAAAGAAAATACAGCATATTTACACCATGGAATACTATGCAGTCATAAAAAAGGATTAGTTCATGTCCTTTGAAGGGATATGGATGAATCTGGAAACCATCATTCAGAGCAAACTAACACAAGAACAGAAAACCAAACACTACATGTTCCATCTTATTAGTGTGATTTGAACAATAAGAACACATGGACACAGGGAGGAGAACATCACACACTGGAGCCTGTCCCCGTGTGGAGGGCTGGAGGAGGGATAGCATTAGGAGAAATATCTAATGTAGATGACGGGTTGATGGATGTGGCAAACCACCATGGCACATGTGTATCTATGTAACAATCCTGACGTTCTGCACAGGTATCTCAGAACTTAATAATAAAATAAAATAAAATAAAATTAAATTAAAAAAATAGTCACCTATCTGCTCCTCTCCCTCTTTCCAGTGTTCCATTTGAGATACACATCACTGCATAACTTGTACCCTTGATGTGGCCTCGCAGTGGGTGTTGCTATCTTGTGTCTCGTTCCTTCAATCCATCCTTCCAACCCATCCTCAAGTGATCTATCATAACAAAACCTCAGTAGACAATTCTTCTCACAGTCCCTGTCCAGCTCCTTGTCAGTTGTCCCTGCAGCCCTCCATAATTGGTCCTGCCTCCCTTTCCAGCATCAGCTCCAACCACTCTTCATCTGATTTCTAACATTCCAGTGGTACTAAAGGAGCTGTGATTCCCACAACTCTCCACCCTGCTCATTTTTGGTTTATAGGAAGATATTTTATTTATTCACTTATTCACATATTGATACTCATTCAACATATATTGATGGCTTACCTACAATGTAGCAGGCACTGGTTTTATTATTGGAATAGTATGTGAATAAAAGAGGTAAAAATCCCCAATTTGGCTACTTTGCCTGTGATGCCTGTATTTGTCATCTTCACTTGACTGACTCTTATCTAACATTGTAGTCTCATTTCAGGTGTCGAGATTTATTGTTTCTAAGAATTCTCCTGTGATTTTTGTTTTTCTTAGCCATGCTTCAAATTGGTGCATACTAAATGTTCTCATCTGTCTTCTTTTCTTTCACTATACTTATATCAGATTATTCAAATTAGACATTCACCTATTCTTAACACTAGTGTGTAAATTCCTTGAGTGCTAACAGCATGCTTCATAAATCCTTGTAACCAGAGAACATAGCACAATTACCATCTAACGAACATGTGTGTTATAGAAAATGCCCATAGAAAAAGATGATCTCAGAAAACAATTAAAACTGAAATCTTGGGGAATAAACTCATGACTATGAACGGTAAATTATTAATTATAAAAAGGCTGATGATTGTCACATGGGATGTCTTAACTTATTTGAACCGCTATAATGAACATTTTACAGTTGGTAATCTACAGACAACAGAAATTTATTTCTCACATTTCTGGAGGCAGAGAAGTACAAGATCAAGGCACCAGCAGATTTGATGACTGGTGAGCCCATTCCTCTTAGATAGTGCCTTCTGTGATCTCACTTGGTAGAAGCTGCAAATAAGGTCCGTTAAAGCCTCATTTAAAAGGGCAATATTCCCTCATGGCCTACTCCCTACCAAAAGTACCACTTCTCTACTTCTTGTTATCAACACATTGGAGATTAGATATTGACATATAAAACTTGGGGAGACACAAATTTTCAGACCACAGCATGAGCATTGACCTGGTCATTTTCTAGGTGCTCAGCAAGAAACCAATGGTTCAGAAAAGACTTCAAGCTATTGACCTCTGCTTCTTTTCCTCCACCTATCTTTTTAATCTCAACAGAGTCCAAATCATTGTTGATCTACTTTTAATATTTGCTTTCAGGATTCAGGAGGCTTCACTACTGTTTGCTCATTTTCAATGACTTTATAATATATCATTAGCAATAATAATTTATTGAGTGTCTCTTTTCCATGAGACATAAGGATGTTGAAATATAATTTAGGAAAGATTAAGATTAAAGTGACTCATATTCAAGAAAGGATTTCAACTGTAATGTAGATGCAAAAACATATAGAGAACAAGGGAAAATTGAGTAGAATTTGAAGTGTGCCCTGATTATATTTCAATCTGAACCTGGACAATTTGTTGTTATTCTTGTTTCTGTTTCCTATATCTACTATTTAGGTCTACCTAGATTATCTTCTCCTTTCCAGCAGACTTTGCAAGAAAGAAAGAAAAAGAAAGGAAAATGGGAAGAGAGAGAGAGAAAGAGAAAGAAAGAAAAAAAGAAAGAAAAAGAAAGAGGAAGGAAGGAAGAAAGAAAGAAAGGAAGGAAAAAAAGAAACGAGAAAGCAAGAATTCTTTTTCATTTTACTTTCCCTGAATCCTTCCCCAGGTAGTAGTTAGTTATGGTAACTACTTAAACATCACCAAAGTTTATTTTTATATTTCTCTTTTGGTATAATATTTTTCTACCATGACTATTACTACTATGTTCTTTCATAGTGTTTCTCACTTGACTGGAAGAAGAGTAGGATGTATCTGAACTCCGCAATACTTTTATATTGCATGAATTCAATAAATGATACAAATAACTGGACACAGGCCAGAATGTGTGGACTCTGAAGTGATGAATAAAATTTATGTTTTGATAATAGAAGTGTTGTATATGGAATGGCTTCTTAGGAGGATTAGTAGGTTAACCATTTCAATTAAAATGATTTGTAATATCATGGTACACAGACATTCAAGTAGAAAAAGAAAGTATTCATTAATTTACATTTGATTTAATTATTCATAAAGAGCTTACTATGTGCCCATCAATTTATGTCTCCATCGCTTTTTAGCTTACTATGTACCCAACACTTTTTAGGTTTCAGTTACCACAGTAAGCAAAAGCAAGTCTTACTCTCATTCTAGTTGGAGACAATAGTGTGAATGCTAATAAAAGAAAACTATATATGAGTGCTCAGGTGCCAACTGAAGGGTATATTCAAAGCAAGGAAAGAGAACAGTGACTCAACCAGAAGAAATATTACATAGTTTCTAGATTTCTCAGAAAGAAAGAACATCAAAATGAGTGAAACCAATTAACTGCATTCTAAGTGGAGAAGGTGGGAGGAATCAGGCAAAAAAAAAAAAAAAAAAATGCCAGAACACTTTCCTGAAAGAAGACTTAGTGAAACAGATACTCTAGTGTTTGAAGAGTTTTGTGAATCAGTGTCTGCTGTGGGAAGATAAAAGTAAGGAGATAGAAATAAATCACTTTTTGGTTGAGTGGTAAGACAGAAACAAATATAAGAGTCACAGGATTCCTATGGTTAAGCCACATGAGTGTCTACTGAGAATCTTCAGCTCCCTATAAAGAGCTTCCCGCTGCGTAAAGGGAAGGAAGAAATCTAGAAAGTCTGTCCTAGGATGAAAGAGGTGGTCCTAAGCAAATAATTACAATGTGTCTTCTCAAAATGTAAGAAGAATAGAAAAAATGGGAGAGAAATAAGTAAATTATAGAAATTAAAGTGTGTGTGAAATCTGGTGTGGGATTTGGGAGGGTCTAAGAAGCTCTAATAGTGGCAACTTTGTGTCATCCAAAAAGCTAGGAATAGTTATCTTGCTAGTCTCCTGAACACTTACTCTATCCCCAGTATAACAAATATGTCATGGAGAAGTAATTTTTAAAATAATTATTTCAAGAAAAATGAAGAACTGTAAGAATAAATGCCTAACATAGATGACGGGTTGATGGGGTATAGCAAAACAACATGACATGTGAATACCTATGTAACAAACCTGCACGTTTTACGCATGTACCCCAGAATTTAAAGCATAAAAAAATTAAAAATTAAATAAAAAGAATCCATGTGGTTAAATGTTGGTTGAGTGTTCTGTGGGATGAAGGGCTTAGATATATAGATGAAAGAACACACGAGAGATTTAAACCTAACTTCAGCAATTGTTGATTTAAGGATCCTTGGAAACATTATTGGGCATTTGTTATCATAATTGTATGAATGCTAATATTTGTGGCATGCTTACCATGTGTCAAATCCGGTGCTTTACATTAATAACTTGACTTGACAGCACATGTACTAAAGTTGGAAGGATACAAAGAAGATTAGCATGGCCCCTGCACAAGGATGACATGCAAAATTGTGAAGCATTCCATATTTTTGTCTGTGTACCTGAATGTGATAGGAAGAATGAAATCAAGTTGGCAAACACTCTTCAGGATATTTTCCAGAACTTCCCCAACCTTGCAAGGCAGGCCAACATTCAAATTCGGGAAATACAGAGACCATCACAAAGATATTCCTCAAGAAGAGCAACCCCAAGCACATAACCGTCAGATTCACCAGGGTTGAAATGAAGGAAAAAAATGCTAAGAGCAGCCAGAGAGAAAGGTTGGGTTACCCACAAAGGGAAGCCAATCAGACTCACAGCAGATCTCTCAGCAGAAACCCTACAAGCCAGAAGAGAGTGGGGGGCCAATATTGAACATCCTTAAAGAAAAGAATTTTCCACCCAAAATCTCATATCCAGCCAAACGAAACTTCATAAGTGAAGGAGAAATAAAATCCTTTACAACCAATTGCTGAGAGATTTCATCACCACCAGTTCTGCCTTACAAGAACTCCTGAAGGAAGCACTAAAGATAGAAAGGAACAACCAGTATCAGTGACTGCAAACATATCAAATGATAAAGACTATTGACACAATGAAGAAACTGCATCAACTAATGGGCGAAACATCCAGCTAGCATCAAAATGGCAGAATCAAATTCACACATAACAATACTAACCTTAAATGTAAATGGACTAAATGCCCCTATCAAAAGACAGAGACTGGCAAATTAGATATAGAGTCAAGACCCATTAGTGTGCTGTATTCAGGAGATCCATCTCACATACAAAGGCAAGCACAGGCTCAAAATAAAGGGATGGAGCAGATTTACCAAGCAAATGGAGAGCTAAAAAAAAAGCAGGGGTTGCAATTCTAGTCTCTGATAAAACAGATGTTAAACCAACAAAGATCAAAAGACAAAGAAGGGTATTACATAATGGTAAAGGGGTCAATACAACAAGAAGAGCTAACTCTCCTAAATATATACGCACCCAATACAGGAGCACCCAGATACATAAAACAAGTTCTTAATGACCTACGAATAGACTTAGATTCCTACACAGTAATAATGGGAGACTTTAACACTCCACTTTCAATATTAGACAGATCAGTGAGACAGAAAATTAACAAGGATATCCAGGACTTGAAGTCAGATCTAGACCAAGTGGGCATTTATAGAACTCTCCACCCCAAATCCACAGAATATACCTCCTTCTCATCACCACATTACACTTACTCTAAAATTGACCAAATAATTGGAAGAAAATAACTCAATCCATTTCTTTGATGTTTTCATGTGATTTTTTTTCCTTTTAGCAACTGCTATACTAATGATCTAGAATGTTTACTTAAATTATGAATGGCTTTATTTCAACAGTGAGGATACTCATTCATGGCAAGACTAGCGACTTTGATTTTGGTTCTCTACTCTTTTAATAGTTCTACCACATACCTAGATAAAGGTATAAGGAGCACCATCACCAGATTTTTAATTGTTGCAGATCTGGGAGAAAGAGATAATGCAGTATGATCTTCAAGATGATCTTCCCAGTCTAATGGTGAAATTAAACTGATAAGTACAAAATTAGAAACAATTTTATTATAATTTACTTTATCATTCTTTTTTACTCGGAGCTACAATGCCTAATTGTTTCCCCAATGTTGTCACTTTCCACATTAAAGATGTTAATTTGGCATTTGTAACTGAGGACCCAAGAGGCTATAGATATGATATTTATGAAACTCCAAACTGAAGTATCATATTAAGATGAATATTTTGAAATGAAAAATTTGATTACACAATTACTAATTCTCACCTAGATTCAGGTTGTTAATGAATTATATCATTGGTAATTAAGAGAGATTTGAAAGATATATTTTAGAGAGAACTTTTGGTGAACTATGAGTCCAAACATTCCCAAGTGCAAAGAGATGTGGGTTCCTGACCCTTGTCTCAAGCTTAGTAGGACTGGCTTCATCAGGACTATGTAGAGAGTTTGATACACTGTGAAGCTGGGATAATACAATGGACCTGTCTTTGTTGTGCTGGTAAATCAAATGGGGGAGGTGGGGTAGCTAGTTCTTCCACTTGTAGAAGCAACTAGGTGACTAAATTAGGCTGTAGCTATATTTCTCAGAGTTTGACTGGACAAAGGATACAGATATTTTATAGAGACCAGCTATAGGTGGTCTCATAAAAGATTCATTAAGACACATGGTCTTAATCTATCTTGGATCATGTCCAACAAGGCTTCCCGTAGTCTGGAAACTTCAGCAAAGAGAAACCAAGGATGGCAGTGGACCCTTTAAGACAGAGGAAATATGCCATGTGCCTCAAGATAAGGGACAGTGTCTCTGAAGAGATCATAGATGGTACATATTGCAGTGAAATCTCGGAATTTCCTCCACATTCCTGCATCCACACCCTTGGGTAACCCCTTCTCATGCTGACTCAGACTTGGTTATGTGATCTGTTTTTGCCAGTGGGAGAAAAACAAACGTCATTAGCAGTGATTTGAAAAGCACTTTTGTGCTGGGGCTTACCCTCTCTTTTATGCTTTTTGTACTTTGTCATAGGGAGAAGCTACACTATTGAAAGGTAAGACACATGGCCCAATCAAACATGTTGTCTCTGATGACAGTCAACCCACCTCTAAACACATAAGTGTTTCTGAGACTATTCGGCCCAATGGAGCCATCATCTGACTTTTGACAGAACCCAGCCTGGTCCAGTCAGCAGAATTACACAGCTGACCTGTTGACTCATGGAATATAATACAGAGCTGCTGTTTTAAGGTAGTCAGTATCGACATGATTTGCTACACGGAAAATATTATTGCTACACCATAAAAGTCCCCTATAAGAGAAAGGAAGCTTTAAAGCCATGTCTACAAAGTTTAGGATCGGTTGCTGATAGTAGCAGTCAAGTAAGAACTTTCCTGCCTCTTCTCTTATCTCTTTACTCTCTTCAATATTCACTTCCTTCTAGGGTGTTCAGAAATACCAAATATGAGCTGAATAAGACATGGAAAGACAAGGATTCATCTCTTTCCCAGAGTACAAGCCTGGCTCATAGAGGGAATATTTCACTTTAGGTCAAATGGTAAGAGTTTTGACTATTACAAAGGACTGAACAAAATAACTTGACATTATGTTTGAAACTTATCGTAATCTTTGGATTAATACTATTTGTATTTAATCTAAGGATTGTCTGAAAAGGCATGGAACTGCTTGTTTTTATCTAGTATTCGTGAAAGAACTCCCCAAATGCAGTTTAGGAAATAATGTTGCCTTAGTATTATATCCAGTGAAAGTTACTTTCTCAACATTCCGATTACTCTTAGCATAGATTAGATATCTACCAATTGATTAATAGTTTTACTGTATGCATATAATTTGTAGAAACATAGTTTTAAAACTCTAAATGCTATGATTATTAATTATTGGCAGGGTGTTGTAAAATCTATACTTTGAAATATAGCTTCTGTGCATAGATTCTTTTGCGTTCTGTTTTGAAATACACCCTAACCTTCACCTGCTCTGGAATCAGTGGTTCTCAGAATGCTTTCTTCTTTTGCAGATTCACTGTCACTGTTGTCTGACATTACAACATAGTAACAGCTCAACTATCCTCAATAATATTTGACTACAGGGATTCTGTAAATAGGTGAAGCTTCAGATTACTATTTTTATTTCAAGTGCAATAAATTGCAGTCAAAAAATGGATGGGGTCTTGTCCATATATCTATGTAAAATTTAGATCAAACAAGCAAAGTGAAGAATATGTACTCTCACATTTTGTATGTCACACTATAAATTCTATGTTAGGATATACTTCATTTTTGCCCTGTTATTCTCTACCAAAGGAAAACAAATGAGAAGAGCTCACCATATTTGTTTATTTATTTAACATTTGAAAATCGTAATCCAAGGTGTAGGTGATTGAAGGCTTTTTTGTTGGAGAAATTCCAAAATTTTTTCGTACATCTGTTAACCTACATCTGAAATTAAAAAATGTGTACCACTCTAAAAGATACAATCTCTTTGTCCTCACCTGTGTGATGAGGTTAGCTGTTGCCATTCTTACTGTTAAAAGCAAAACCTCATACCAGATGTATTTTGAATGAATTCTTGATTCGCTGTGAAAGTTGCTCATAGCAAAATAAACTATGTGTTGCCTTCTCTCCAGTTTGTTTGATCAGATTTCTAAGCACAAAGACAAAAAGGACAGAAAACACTTTGTATTTGGTATAACCTTGGAAATCCATCCTAAGAGTTAAATGTCAAATTGTTGAATTACTTGCTCTTATTATCCTCTAACTATTCCATATTCTTTTAATTGACTCAATGCTGTAAAGATAAACGCCTTGGGTTACACATAACACAGAACACAGCACAACATAATGCAATTTCATAAAGGATCTTCTGTAATTGCTTATCACACGGGCTGTGCATGACAGACACAATAAAGGAACAAATGGAAAATATTAGGCCAAACCTTATTACTGACATGATATTGGAAATAATCTTGAAATACTTTTTGATGCACATTGCTTATATATAAGCATTGAGAATGATTGGAATTTCTCATACCTATCTGGGTGTATTTTGGAAATGGTGGGGAGCAACTAGAAAGGGGCTAACTCTGCAAATAAGAAGAATTATGAGTGTTTTAAGAAGACTGATTTAAAGTAAAAGTTGGCATCCCAGGAGTAAGAGTGCATTATATTGTCGGTAGTTCCATCATTCAGTATAAAATACAAAGTATCAAAGTTGACTCTGTTTAATATGAGTCATGACAAAATTTTGCACATGAAAAGGATGCTGACCTTTCAAATACAAGCAAATACACATATAGCTTAATATCATTAAACCAGAGCAAACGTTTAAGAAGAGAAGTGATAAAATATTCATTTAGTTTGATATGGGAACCTGAGGTTTTCAGTTATTCACCTACCCATTATATGTTTTCTGAAAAATAATCCCATAAAAACCTGGGGATATTTTACTGATGTTTATTATTTCTCTCATTACAAGTCAACTTCTGAGAAT